GATTCACTATGAATGTAGGCCGCACCCCCTAGCGGCAGAAGCTCGTACTACATCCGGTTCGCCCTCTATTGACACAGTCTGGAAACTTTCCGATCGCACCTCGTATGGTCGAAAATGTTTAACTGCCAATACTATAGCAAGTAGTTCCTTTTCTGTGGTGCTGTAATGAGTTTCAGCAGAATTGAGGGTTCGACTAGCATAGCAAATGGCTTTGTCAGAACGTAACTTTCCTTGGCTCAAAGTAGCACCTATTGCATAACCACTAGCATCCGTGGTAAGAAGGAATCAGGATATTGTAAAAGAGGGGGGGATTTGTTAATTTCTCTTGAACATTTCAAAACTCGTTCTCAGTCCATTTCAAGTCACTATCCTTCTTTAAAAAAATCTGTCATAAGTTTAGCGATTGCACTAAATTGATCTATAAATTTTCAGTAATATCCCGTAAGACCAAGAAAATATTTGATATTCTGCTACGACTTTCTTGGAATCTGATTTAACACCTTCTACAGTGACGACATGTCCTAAATAATTTAATCCTTGTTTCAAAAACTCACACTTTTCTCGTTCTATTTTAATGTTAAATTCTCGCAATTTAGAAAAATACTTATTTTAGCTTTGTATTACGTTCTTCTAACGTCTCTCCCGTTATTAAAATATCATCCATGTTTACTAAAGATTGAAACCCTATTAATTAACGTAAAACAGTATTCATCATTCGTTGAGTTAAGTCCAAAAGACATTTGTTTATACTCGTAGTGGCCATTCGGTGTACTAAACGCAGTTCTTCTTTTACTAGATAGATGGCACTGAAATATCTGGCTTTATCTTTTTAGGAACAATTATTAATGGAAAATTCCATTCGCTTTCATCCAAAATCTTTTTAATCTGACTTTTGTACTTCATTTCTTTGGGCTTCTGGTAGACTATAATTTTTTAATGTAATCGCCCTGCCTTGTGGTATTGACGGAGTGGGAATTGAATGTTCAGAGGTCGTTGTTGCTGTTAATTTATCACCCGGCAATTTAAAAATATCTATGAATTCTATACAAATTTTCTGAGTCCCATCTTGGATATGTGTCGATCGTAAATTTTCATGTAATAAATTCTTTCTGTCTACATTCATTTGTTTCTTCTCCTTTTGACTAATTTGAGACGGAGGTCTTATGAGTTGAGGTGTTTGTTTCACAGAGATTGAACATCTTTTAAATTTAATACTAAGCATTGAAATTTTAAATTTTTACATTCAACCATACTTGTATCGAAAATTAAGCTGTCAATTAACATTTGTGTTTCTACATATCTTGTTCCATTTTCATGAGTATTAAAAGTCACTACCTTTTGGGAATAAATTTCTATGAACTGAGTTAACGTGTACCCTGCCTTTTGTAAATAATTCGTGCCCAATATCACATCCAGATTTCGTGGTAGTTACTTAATTACATTACATTGTATTTATATTTCAGTTACTCTCAGTTGTAATGTACCTAATATCTTTACAACAATTCCACTAATACCTTGTATTGTTTCATTCATTATTTCCTCATAATTATTATATCCTCTTAAACTTCCTTTTCTCACTAACGATACTTGGGACCCTGTGTCCAACAACGCTATTCCTAATCCATTCTTTAATGAGTTACATGTAACATATTGTTCGACTTGTATTGACAGGGTATGGGGGTCCCCAATCCTGTCCTCAAAGTCTTGACAATCTTTGAAGATAAAACTGACTTTTGTCGTTCTTCTACTGTTTTGAAAGCAATCCCGCAGCTGCCACCATGTAATAAATTTGGGATTGTTCAGGATTTGCGGATAAGTTGAAATAACTATGTATTTCAAATGTAGAAGACAGACATTTCGTATTTTCTAATAAGAAGAATTTTATTCAAAACTCAAGACAAAGGAAAAAGATGTATAGTAAAGTTACATGAAGTAGATGCTATGACTTCAAGACCACCTTCTGATCCTGTGCTCTGCTTTCCTTAACATAATACAGGGTGATTCAAAAAGGACTTTATAACTTTGAAAGTGTATAGAAATTTATTCAGATGGCTTACAGAATCGGTTGAGGTGTCATTTTGTAGCAAAACAAACCAAGTTTGACTCACGTTGTGCTGTAGTACCGAATTCCGTCACCGCGAGCTCAAGCGGCAGTGCATTTGAAAATGGCTCGAAAATGTTCTCATACCACAGTTAGACGAAGATGACCAAAAAGGACGCATTCACTTCCAGCAAGACGGCGCACCACCTCACTACCTCGCAGAAGTCCGGGATTTCCTCAATAACCGTTTCCCAGGTCGGTGGATTGGTCGAACATGGTCGATAGCATGGCCACCTCGTTCTCCAGATTTGACACCTCTCGATTTTTTCTTATGGGGTTTCATTAAAGATCATGTGTATGTTCCACCCTTACCTGCCAATCTCACTGAACTGAAAGCTCGAATCACCGCCGCAGTTGCAGAAGTGACATCGGATATGCTGGATCGTGTTTGGCAAGAAATTTATTTCAGGTGGGATGTCTGCAGTATCACCAATGGCAATCACATCGAACCAAAATGACTGTTTGAGGTAAAAC